CACTCACTCACTCACTTGGTACGGACGAACATTTATTACTGATTGACCCAAGTCTGCAGCTAGGATTTGTGGTTGAGACAAATTCATTCAGTCTTATACCTCTGGAAGACACAAAAGGAAGCCAAAACGATTTCTTGATGTTTGTTTATGATGTTTATAATGCATGTTGAAACATGCTTATGGTATAGTTGGAACTAACTGACTTCTTATATTAGATATCAACATTAAGCACATCCTGTTTCAGGATATTGATAAAATATACAAGCTATACAAATATTTACCTGTATTTAAACAACGATAACTCCCTCAATAGAATCCGACCTCGTCAACGTCGGACAAGTCCATTTTATGCACAGGTGGGTATTTCCCGCATATTCTCACAATCCTCACGTCGATTACCTGTACCTTTTATCCCATACCGATTTATCATATCTCTCACGCTTTGGGGTGCGATCGTTCGGCCATAGCGTTTATCTGCGTTGCCCAGCTACATCTGTTGGGAACAACTTACCTGGCATTTCCCTCTCAAATATAACGTCGTCCAATTTACGAGGTCATCAAGTTGCGAGCGCATGTTCGAATATCCAGAATGATGTCATGATACGCGTATCTATCTATCTATCCATCCATCCATCCATCCATCCATCCATCCATCCATCCATCCATCATCCATCCATCCATCCATCCATCCATCTATCTATCTATCTATCTATCTATCAATATATGTGTATATAATTTCTGTCAAGTATCCATTCTCAAGTTTTGTTGTTTTGAAGATGTTCACTGTCCACACGCGCTCGTTCCATTCCCTGGTAACTTGACACAAACACGTATGACACTTTGAGATTAAGATATTGTTTGTCGTTTATTTTCAGGAGATAATAACATGGATATATATGGATAATAGCATCATAGTAGTGATATAACCGAGAAAGAACTGGTCAAAGGGGTGGTAAAACCAACCCACGCACTCTAATATATAAGTATCGATGTATGTACCAACTCGTCAGCGTGATTAATGTTGGAGTGTGGACAAGTGTCATGCATCAGGTGCAGGTGACTGTGACCTTCTGAGGAGAATGGTCAACATTAAGGTGAAGTCACGTTCAACGAAGGTCACTTATGCAATCACCCAGCGATGGAAATATTTCCCAAAGCTCTATATTTGTAATTACTTCATAATCGGTAATTTTTGCAAGTTTACAAGTTTCTTAATCCCTATATGTGTCAACTACACGTTGAGTTGCAGTTAAAGATGTTGTTTCGTAATAGTCTGTAGGTTGTGTACATGTAGCCAGGTACTTGTACCTGCATTGGCTACTTTATTATATGATCATCTCTGTCGCTAAATATTTGACACTGCTGATGCAAGGTAACCACAATTATCAACCGTGTCCATGTAACGGTACTAATATATGGTTACATACATGTGTGACTATTGTTGTCAGTTCACTATGCATTTAATTGTCAGTTGTCAGGTTTTTTTTATCTCATGTGGTATACCTTCTTGTATGACAAATACTAGACAGTCGATAAACACAATACAGTCTGTAGACATTAGACAGTCACATATTCTAAACAATAAACGGTCAATAATTCCTAGACAAGTTGATAAATACTAGACAGTCAATAACAACTAGACAGTCGACAGACACACAGAAATCGTCATACTTTAAACACTCGACAAACGTGATACAGTAGACATACACTAAACAGTCGACAGACACTAAACAATAAACAGTCGCAAAACGCTAGACTGTAGACAAGCACCAGTCTACATACTCTGGAATCGACGTAAGTAGTCAACATACACTGGAAAGTGATCAGGCTGTTGGCTGCACTAAACATTCGACATATTCTACAGAGGCGATATACTGTAGACAGTTGACAAACACTTTAAGTTGTTAAACACTATACAGTCGACATGCACTGATACTATATACATTTGACCTACACTAGACAGACTACATACATTGTCACTATATATATATATATTTGACCTAAACTAGACAGACTACATACATTGTCACTATATATATTTGACCTAAACTAGACAGAATACATACATTGTCATTATATATATTTAACATACACTAGAGAGTCTACAAACAATGTGGCTATATGTATTTAACCTATACTAGGCAGTCTACGCACAATGTGTCTATATATTTAACATATACTAGACAGTCTATATACAATGTGACTAAATATGTTTGACATACACTAGACAGTTTACATACAATGTGTCTATATATATGTAACCTATACTAGGCAGTCTACATGTAATGTGACTTTATATGTTTAACCTACACTAGGCAGTCTACATGTAATGCGACTATATATGTTTAATATACACTAGGCAGTCTACATGCAATGTGACTATATATGTTTAACCTACACTAGGCAGTCTACATGCAATGTGGCTATATATATTTAACCTATACTAGGCAGTCTACGCACAATGTGTCTATATATATATAATATACACAAGGCAGTCTACACACAATGTGGCTATATATATTTAACATATACTAGATAGTCTACACACAACGTGGCTATATATATATTTAACATATACTAGACAGTCTACACACAATGTGACTATATATATTGAACATACACTAGGCAGTCTACACACAATGTGACTATATATGTTTAACATACACTAGGCAGTCTACACACAATGTGACTATATATGTTTAACATACACTAGGCAGTCTACACACAATGTGACTATATATGTTTAACATACACTAGGCAGTCTACACACAATGTGACTATATATGTTTAACATACACTAGGCAGTCTACACACAATGTGACTATATATGTTTAACATTCACTAGGCAGTCTACATGTAATGCGACTATATATGTTTAACATACACTAGGCAGTCTACATGCAATGCGACTATATATGTTTGACATACACTAGGCAGTATACATGTAATGCGACTATATATGTTTAACATACACTAGGCAGTCTACATGCAATGTGGCTATATATATTTAACCTACACTAGGCAGTCTACATGCAATGTGGCTATATATATATAACCTATACTAGGCAGTCTACGCACAATGTGTCTATATATATATAACCTATACTAGGCAGTCTACGCACAATGTGTCTATATATATATAACCTATACTAGGCAGTCTACACACAATGTGGCTATAATGAATGATCTTTATTTCCTCCATTAATTTCGGAGAGTGATATACATTTGGAATCAACACAGCATATTTACACGAACATTATGCAGAGAAATTGGCAATACTGAATATTTACATGTCGTGGTCCTGGTATGAGATATACTGTCTATAGATAGAGCATTGATCGCAGGTTCCAGGAGCTTATATCTCGTGATACAGAAGATATGAATTCAGCCCATCTGTCAAGGCTCATATCCTCTACAATAGGGGTTATACCACCTAGCAATGTCACAAGTTTGACTTCGTCATCTGCACAGTCCTCAATACGCATGTATTGTTCGAGGTTTAAAGAGTCAAATAGATGTTCATTATAGATGGACAATATACATACAATGTAACTATATGTTTTTCACATATGCTGGACAGTCTATATACACTGTCACTATATATATATTTCATATACACTAGAAGAGGACATAAATTTGACGGTCGACAAACAGTAAACAAGAAACAGTCGACATATACTAGACAGTCGACATGCACTAGAGGTCGTCATACGGTAATCAGTTGACAATGAGTGAGTGAGTGAGTTGGGTTTAACGCCGCTTTTAACAGTATTCTAGTTATATCACGGCGTGTCAGCTTAATGTAGGAGGAAAGCCCGAAGTGATGCAGCTCTCAGACGTTTTACCACTTCGGTGAAACCCACGAGCCCGGGTATGGTAAGTGATCAATAATTTTAATTCGTTATAACCGTAGTTCGTTATAAGCATATATACAGCATATATACATCGAATAGACAGGACCCCAAAACAGTTCGTAATATCCGTCAGTTCGTTATAAGGGTGTTCGTTATAAACGTAGTTGACTGTAAACGTATTCAAAAGCATACCTGTAGATATACTGTGTTATGTACTGGTCATTCAACAGACATATATGCAGTGTCATACTATATACAATACTACCATAGACATAAGATAACACACAAACGCGCACTCATTAACACACGATATGTGTAATTGCTGATTCACGACATATGAACCGGCAAATGCGCGGATGTAAATGTATTAATTTTACATTGATTTAAACATATTTCCCGATCTAAAGGAAACTGTGGTCCGAGGGCTTCGTACTTTCCTGTTTGTCATTGTACAGGAAATATTTAATATCCGCTGTCTAAAATTGTATCAGAGACATTTTGTCATATCCTCTCGAAAGGAAACGTTACTACAATATGCCGATTTGTCAGAGTCTTATCACGCGATCCAGTCAACGCTTCCCGTCCGCTCGAACCCAAGTATTGATCGGAGAGGCGGAAAAAAAGAGATATGACGTCACAAGTTATCTCAAGAATTCATTTTAAAAGAGTTATCGATCATGCCTCGTTTTATATCTGTTGTTTCAATACTAAATTTGTTTTCAGCCAATCTAAAAAAATACCAGGACAGGACTAAAAACACTGATAACACTATCACGCGCTTTTAAGTATTAATAGCAATATTGCAAATATTAATAACCCTATCATCCGATTTTTATAGTTATTTGTATCAATGGTATAAACGTTAACGACATTCATATATAACGTCCAATGATCATGAAAGTTTTATCGATTTTTTTCCGATATAGTGCTTAATAACCTTTTTTTTATAAATTACGATTGAAGGACGAACACAACGTATATTTGTTTGCAGGAAACAAACCAGAAACACATACACGTTTTCAACATAATCTTTGTATAACTTTAAAAAGTGGCACGTGCACTTCAACTGAGCGGGAGATTAATTAAGGTATGACAAGTGATGACTTTATCTTGACCTTAACTTCCTTATCGGTGTGCACATGTAGTGATCACTCTGACCGCCAGTAACGCATAATAGCAGTGATCAGCTTCAGACCACGCGATCGACAGCCACAGACGTCGTTGTCGCTTGACCAGCTGCTGACGTATAGAGGTGAAGTGGAACTAGTGGCGCTACCACATCACGGCGGGGAACTGTGAGTATGCAGTTGGAGACGTTCCCGCTGAGTCTGACCCAAGGGGCAGTAAAGTTAGTTGTTTATGTAGGATCATTTTCATTTTGGGTTCAGTCAGAATAAATTCCCCGACAGCGAGGCTCTGCTACAACGCCAGGGTAAACCTTGTCCAGGTATCAGTGAACTTGCAAACTAACGAAAACCAACACCTATGATTGTATTTAATTCCGTATATCACAAATAACACATTTAATGTAATATGTGTTATGTTTTCATGCCAGACATGGTTATATTACGTCAATGTACTTAATGTTATCATTATTATACGATGTACTTAACGTTATCATTATTATATCGCCATCTACTTTATGCTTACTATAACCTACTTTTGATTGATCTATTCAGGTGTAATCAACTGATAATTTAATTACCTTCTATTATGCTGCTGGGCAAAAGAATATATAGACTTGGGAATTGGATGTGACCACGAAATTACAAGAGTTATCAAAACGTTATTAGACTGAAAACGTGATACCAAATGTAGCACCATCGAATAACCATTTGTAGCATATATCGCCTTTAGCCACCATGAAACATGTGTGGATATTTTCTTTTGCCTGGCAGTTTATATCATCAGATCCTGACAAACATAGTATTTATTTAAGAAATATTGAACTGTTTGTTAATTATAACCATTAGAGTGTGTTTGGTGATGCATACCTGCATACCAACATTCAATTTTTAAATTACATCTGTACAAAACAAGCCCACGTACCAAGTACATGTAACAGGTATATGTTTAGGATAGTTAATGTGTTTTTTATGTTGATTTGATCACGACGTTCACACAACATTGAACCCGGCTAATTAAATAGTGACTTTAAACTCAGTATATAATTATTAACATGAGTCATTGACTGGCTAGAGAGGCCCCATCTTCGCTTCCCGCAGCTAGTGTAATCCGATCCCTACAGTATTGATAAATACTATGTTTAAATGCCCATCGATTCTCTGAACAGACACCTCTGGATCTGGGAGGACACATGCACCATCGTAAAGGCAACTGTCTCGCCGACACTAATCACGTGTTCCACGTTACGGGTCCCGTCATAATACTCGAAGTCAGTGACTCAAGATTTGACAACATGTAGTGTCCCGTTATACAGCGGTATCCTCGGGCCTCGCTGTAAGGAAGATACACGCCCCCTGGGTGACGCGATCGTTCATAGTGGGACAGCGCAGTGCAGCATCACAACGCCGCCAGACGTCATGGGGGTCGGCCGGAGCTGGTTGTGTCTGGCTATACTTTTCTCGTCCATCTCTGATGTCTTCGGCAGTGTAGGTAGGTCACCCCCTCTATCTGTTTCAATGTCAGCTTTAAATTTAATGTTTATTTTAATCTAAGAAGCAGCGGAATGTCTTCGCGTGCATAACGACTTGTTAATATAATAGATAATGTTACACTCACATTTTCCTGAATGCATTAGATCGTTGGACACAGACAGACAGACACACACACACAGGCAGACACACAAACAGACAGACAGACAGACATTCACACACACACACACATTTTATATATAACTCCGGGCGAATGCCCCACGAAAAGTCTTCAGATCAGTGAAAGGACATTAGACTACGTATCCATGATTAGTAAATCCGGAAATATATTATTCCTGGTTATGAAATTGAGGGCGCTGCCGTCCTGGCTAACGAGATTTTAATTGCATTAATTTCCCACTGAAATCGACCGGATTAGAAAATTTCCGCATAACCAAATTATAGGAATGAAGTAATGTTTACTACCCAAAAGAAGTTAAAGAACTCCCGATTATTTACATTACTAGAGTTAATCTGCCATAGGATGACAGACAGATTAAGTATAGTACTATAGCAGCATGAAAGAATCGGGCGTTGTTCAGCTTCTAATGGGTAGTACATATATGTACGCCCTCCCAGCAGTACAGTAAGTCGCAGAAGAAAGTTCCCTATTAACGGGGCCCAGACATACAATGTTTCACTGTTGATAATTTAAATATTCACGTAATACAAACCTAAAAAAATTAATATGAAATTCGTTTGAGGTACGGCTTTTCTAATCGACGAGAGGTCGGTCGCAGGACCGCGAAATTGACGCTAACAAGTGTATGAACGATACAATTTGACGTGTTGAAATGACATAAACATTGATGGACTACTCCAACATTCCTTGTGGACCCCCTGGGATTTATCTAGCACAACAAAACACAAAAGCGTTTTTTCGGATCATTTAGACACTTTAATCTTGAACTCAGCGTGTTAACATACATTGAGAAACGTCAGAGACTTTGACTGCATGATCGTCAACGAATGGCCTCGCTACGACCCATCCTAGTGTACAAAACAAAGAAATGCACACCCACGAAGCCCGGGCCTATCGTAGTATCGATTCGATCCGTGCCTGGATTAACAATTACATTCCACAGCAATCTATGCATTTACCTTACTAGTATCTATTTAACACATCTTTATAATCACATTTCAATGGCCGGCCAACTGATCAATGATGACTGACACATGTAACCGCCACTGATTCATTAACAACTTCGGAAATCCCTCCCGTCACGTTTACCGTGTCGGTCATTTTCATGTCTTGTACTTGATGTAAATGTATTATTGCCAAGTGTCATTGTGACTGACTTACTGAGGTAGTTCTCAACAGACCTTTCTCATACAATGATGATAGTTTTATCCCCCGCCATGACGTTGGGTGGGGGATATTGGCACGGAGTTCGTCCGTCCTTCTGTCCGTCCGTCCGTGGACACATTTTCTCAAAAACTATTAAAGTTAGAGAAATAAAAGTTTACACACTGATGTTACTGGTCACAATCTCAAATGAGTTCGAAAATTGGTTTCATACATTCATTTTTACAGAGTTGTGGTACTTGCTCCATGCTTTGCAACTTCGTGCATACTGTGTGAAATTGTGGACAGGTTTTCAACTACTGAAATTACATGAATAAAAATGTGCACGCTTGTATAAGAGATACTTCTCAATACTGAGTTCCAAAATTGGTGCCGTAAATTATATGACAGAGTTATTGCCCTTGCTCCCAGCTTTTCAACTTAGTGCATAGTGTGTTCAATGGGGACAACGTTTCTCAGAAACTTCTTAAGTTTCATGCAAGCTCATCGAAGAGATACTGTCAAGCATGAGTTCGAACACTGGTCCCGTCAATTATAGTGTTACAGAGTTATGGCTCTTGTTCCGTGCTCCTCAACTGAATGCATTGAGTTGTCTCAGATACTACTGAAGTTCCATGAATGAAAGTGTGCATGCTTATCTAAGAGATACTTGTCAAGACAGTTCGAATAAGGTTCCGTCATTTATTTGTTCGAAAGGTAAGCCATGTTCCGTGCTTTTCAACTTAGTGAATGCTGTGTGAAATGGGTACAAGTATTCTCAGACACTACTTAAATTGCATGAATGATAGGTTGCATGCTTATCACAAAGGATAATCGAAAATTGGTCCCTTAGTTGTTTGTCAGAGTGACGGTCCTTGACTCATGTTATTTTGTTTGGTGCATAGTGTGTGCAGTAGGGTTTCTCAAAGTTTTCTCAGAAACAACTGAACTTAAGCTTTTCTAAGAGACACTTATGACAACTGAGTTATTTTGTCCAGGGAAGGGTCATTTTGTGTGTATTAATTTCACAATTTATTAATCTTTTTTTCTGAAGATAAAAGGCTTTATAGGACTTCGTTTATAGTTTATATTCACGACTATATGAACAAAATTCTTATGTGCCCATGGCGGGGAATCGTTGTTTTCGACACACTCATGTAACTTCTTTTTGATCTCTCAGACTATCTCTTATCACCAATCTAAGCTTAAGCCACCAAATGACCCATATGTCGCCATCTACGAAATATTTACAGAATGTTCCATAAAAGCTCGATTAACGACAAAGGCCCTGAAAGCATTCTACCATGAATCTACTTTCTAGTTGGATGTTTACTCGCTTCACTCTCTCAGACACATAACTATAATCAGCATAGTTACTCGTTCTGCATTACGAGAACGACCCCGATCTCAAGTGTGCTACTCTCTACAATGCTTCATATGCGTCACTGACTTTCTTACGTGGTCATCATGCAAAGGGTCTCTCATCCTGTATCCAATTACCAAGGTGATCTTGGAACTCATTTGGGGAGACTGTCTCACGGCCCTCACTTTTTCGATGAGAACTAAAGTTGCGTGTTGTCCAATGCATCTGGTAGTTGGGAGAACATTTATACAGGGCACTTGTTATAGATAGCAACTTCTTTTATTCTTTGTCACGAAGTTCCGAGCTACTTCCTGTTTCTTGCTCATTCATGATGTGAATGCTTCGTAAGTGCATAGTTAAGTGCACAGGGAGCGAGAGAGAGAGAGAGGAGAGAGAGAGGGAGAGAGAGAGAGAGAGCGAGAGAGAGAGAGAGAGAGAGAGAGAGAGAGAGAGAGAGAGAGAGAGAGAGAGAGAGAGAGAGAAAAGTTAACTCTAAGGCACAATATAGTGAAAATTGACTAAGTGAAGTAAGATTGAACGCAGTTTTAATTGGCCAGGGCTTTCACCTCGTACCAAGAATGAGTCGCATCAGGCAATAACTGCATAACGGACATGAAGCTGTTTACACGACACAAGATGGGATGAAAGCTTTGTGTTTGTGCAACGTGTTCAGCAATGTAATTAGTTTTAATTCTGACAATCCTACGTATCCTGCTGTACTGACACAACTAAGCTTATGTATCCGTTACGTCCAGCAAGTGGCAGGACACGGATAGGCCAAGTCAAGAACCCGTAAGGTTTGGCGCCTAGTTTTGTTCCTCAGTCGTGACATGATTGTCAACCACAGCAAGCTGATTAGTCTGTCTTAGCCTGATACAAATATATCAAATACAGCCTATTTTATTCTGTACGATATGTTCATTTCAGAGTCTAGATGTTAGTCTACAAGCTGATATGTCCTTACATAACTGAATTACGTTGATTGCATACAGCCAATTGTCAGTGACACTTGACACTGAGTGAGATTTCTCAGTTCGCTATAGAGAGTTCGTTATATACGTAAATTTTATATGATATTATATAGGAGATAAATCGGGGATTTTTTAACAGTTCGTTGTATCCGTTTGTTCGCTATATCCGTGTTCGTTATATCCGTGTTCTACTGTATATATACAATAATAGATAAATACATAACTTGTATAATACATGAGAACACTTGTAAACCACTCACCTGATCACTTGTGCATTGTAAACAGGACAAAAACAAATTATTATTATCAAGCCCCTTATATAAATACAAACGGAAGCCGAATTGCATGCTAAAAGTGTTTGACACTAAATGTGTTTTCCAGCAACGCAGTATATGCATGTATACAGTATATCACTATATATAGCGTAATTCAGTTTGATTGCGTTATACGAGTTACCTGCCCTTCAGAGATTAGTAACGTAATCACGTCCAATTTCACGTTACACACATCACTTCGGTCGTTAAGACGTTTATCTTATGCTCACTGTATCGCGTTCTCTGATGATACACAATCAGCGTCATGACAGAGCCTGGCAACCACAAGATTCAATTATAGACGTCAATACAAGCAATAGAGTGATTGGGACACATTCAGACCGGGTGTGGTGGTAAATAAATGCAGCAAACAGGGTTTGGGTGATCCTGGCTCAGTCAGGCTTGTTAGGCTCATCATTATCTCAGGGCCCTTGCCCCCTCTACACGCAGCCTGGACAGCGAATGGGACTTTCCCAGGAAGCACTGCCTAGTCTGGTGGGTAGACCAGTGGAAGGGAATTGGGTCTTTGACCATTATAGAACAATGTCAGATCATCATCCATACTAATAACGTCGATTGTACGATTACGACTAGATCATGAGAATGTGTTTATGAATCACTGTGAAATAGTGATGATACCAGGTGTTCGCGAAAAGGTGAGCGTATGATGCCCCTCCCGTCACAAACACATGCAGAGGCAAGTAAAGTGTTCACCTAAAGCAAATACACTTAACATAGCGAATTGCATCGGACATAATTCTTGTAACTGATGCGTCAAATGCGGAAATGTCTACCATGCAATTTTTCGAAAGCTCTGCTGAGTCCCTGGATGTTGTAACCTTGATCAAATAGCTTCTGAGCAAGAACCGTTTGACGCTCTTTGAAAACTTGACAGAAAGAGCATTCTCGATTGTACCTCAAAAGTAGACACCAAGGGCTGGAGCTGCAGGGGTATCGCTCGACATGAAGGGAAAGCTGACTATTGGAGAATCGAAGTAGTTTCTCTTGTCTTATAACCTTGTGGAGAGA